AACAAAAACTTAACTTTGTACTATTCCTACTTAGCTTGAGTAGGACCTGAAATTATTTACACCACATTGAAGTGCAATGGAGTCCTCTGGCAAATCCGTGATATGGAATTCATCCTCTTTGTTCCAGATAATCGCAAAGCCAGGGAATCAGCTTCTTGAGTCCTACAGCTCATGAAAGGCTGGTCGACAAAACCCCAGGAAGCGCACTGCCCCCTTTGGCAGCTAGCTTGTCAAGTGAGCTCTGAAATGCTTTCCATTGTTCTTGTTTAAGGCTCTTTTATTTAGTGTTAAAGGATCTGCAGCATCATAGTCTTCCCAGGATATTATATTAAAGGCTTTGGGCCCTGAATTTGTTCATCACCCAAGCTATCTAAACAGTGCTGGGGAGCAAGATGGTGGCATGCTGTAGCAGCAAAACACAAGGCTCTGTGAGGCAGGCCACACGGGAAAGGTGCCAGTTCAAGTCCAAGTGCAGAGGCCTCCCTGAGTACACTGGGTACACATGTGCCTGCGGGCTGGGCTGGCGAGGGCTGGGTGAGGTCATCTGTCGGTACCCGGCAAGGGTGCTAGATCTCACTCTCTCCTGCTCAGGGCATAACTCAATAAACTGTGTGTGCGTGTGTGTGTGTGTGTGTGTGTGTGTGTGTGTGTATTCTGGAAAAAAAAAAGTCCTAAACCACTTCATACTAATTTGTTCTTAGTACCATAACTGTTTTCCAGAAGACAATAACACATTAGAGAAGATGAAGGTGGGAAATTTTTTTCCGTAAAGAGCCCGATAGCAACTATTGGGTCATGGAAAAGTCATGATGCATTTTTGCGTAGAAAAACATAGAAAAACAGGTCATGACTTTTCCAATGACCCATTATTTCAGGTTTTGCAGGTCACATGGTCTCAGTAAAAACTACTCAACTCTTACGTGGTAGCCACAGACAACACAGAACGCATAAGCCTGAAACTGTGTTTTAGTAAAACGTCATGAAAGCAAGTGGCAGCCAGATGTGGCCCAGGAGCTGACGCCAGCACGGGAAGGCCACACGGCTGCCTGCTCCTGCTCTCCCTAAGTGGTAGAGGCCTCTGGCTTCACACGCCAGGGTCTCTCTGCCCCTGGCTGGTTCAGCCCCAGGAAGGTAGAACCTTCGACAGACTGGTAAATTGAAGAGTACACTGGCCTTGGTGGTACTGGCCCACCGGGGGTGAGTGTTTTTCTCCGCCTTTTCCCGCGGCCCCAGCTGCTGTGACTGGTAAGTAAATCTGTCCTATTCTGACCTTCGGTGTCCACGAGCCCCTGAGCGCAGATCCATGGTGGTGCCCTGCAGCCTGGCCTCGGCCTCTGACAGATACATGTCTCAGCTCCATCCGATTAGTCATTAATCTTATTTCTCCGTAGTATCAAGGTGGCCTTTAACAGGACTACTAGAAATGATGTTTTTTTTTTTTATTATTATGTCAAAAATCCAGACAAATCTTATATTCTTTCAATAAAACTGCATAGACCATCTTATAACACTTACAACATTGAGACTCCTTACTTTTTTGGCTGTTTATTTCATGCTTTGCATTAATGTTATGCATTAATCATAAATTAATTGGCAGCCATGTAGACATTGCATACTTGAACTGTAAAATTCATTTAAGAAATGAAATTATTTAGAGAGAACAGTTTTTTCTAAATTTATTGCTCATAGGAGGAAAAAAATTGAGGTGCATGGTGGTAATGAGGTTGGGAGCCACTGCCCTACACCCCCTTCTGCCTTAATAGCCAGTCAATATTCAAGCCAAGGAGGGTCAGTAAACAGGGGTGTCAAGACAGACCCAGTTTCAAATGCCTCTTTTCTCTCCTTCCTTCCACGCTGCTCAAAACAGGTAGCAGGGGCTAGCAGGTGGCATGGTGGTTAAGGTCCCACATGCTGACCATGGGTCAAGTCCCAGACATGATGACTCAAAAATCACACCAGGCACGTGTGTGTGCATGCCCAAAATCCCGAGGGGAGACTGGGGGAGAAGGGATGGTGGCATGGCCATTTTCCCTGGATGGGTGATTTCTGATTTTCTTCTCTTTCTCTCGTGAGTGCACATGCCCTATGTCAAAAATAAAACTAAATAAATAAATAAATAAAAAGAAGACAGGCAGAGGTGCTATGCTGGTCGAGGCCTTCCCGGGAGCAGGCTGAGCGGCCACGAGGGCATGCTAGAGCTGCCGAAACAGAGCAGTGCAGGCTGGGTGGCTTCCACCTCACAGACAGTGGGAGTGAGGCAGGGTTGGTTCCCATTAGGGCTGTGACGGAGGCTGTTCCAGGCCTCCCTCCTTGGCCTGTGGATGGCTGTATCTCTTCACATCATCTCTCTATGTCTTGGTGTCCAAATTTCCCCTTTCAAAAAGGTCACCAGTCATTCTGGATTAGGGCCTGCCTGATGACCTGACTTCAGTTTATTTACCACTGTAACAGTCTATCTCCAAATAAAGTTGCATTCTGAGGACCCAAACTATAGACTTTAGGGAGACACAATTCAACTCCTAACGTTGCCTGACCTAGGAACGGTTGCATCTGCTGTATGGCTAAGCTCCACAACATGTTCTTAACCTTCCCATGTGGCCAGATGCCAACGTGGGCTGCCCTGACCCCAGGGGTCTCAGTGGGCTCCAGGATTGCAGGTGGGAAGGGAGAGAGAACAGACACATTTTGTGAAAATATCTTGCATACTTTGCCTTCCTCCTGGGCACTTGATTAAGCTACACCCACCTCTGGGGTACCATGCCACCAAGCTAGCTAGGATAAGTTGGTCCTACAGAAAGTAGATCCCTAAAGTTCCTTTTCAATGATGGCATCCCTGTGTCCCCAGCAGCATAACCCACTGGATAGGAACAGCAGCAGGAAGAAAGGAATAGATCAACCTCAGGGAGTTTTGAATTTGCACAGCTCTCTGCTTTGAACGCAGGTGTGAGCTGAGCAGTGCACAGAGGCCTTGGAGGACGCGCACGTGCGGGTGCGGCCAGGTCAGGAGCTAAAGATACCCACAAGTCCAGCTCCCTTGCAGCCGGTGGTGGATCTCGCTCAAGGCTTTACTCTGCTGCAGGGGCCAGGGCTTTGCTTGTGCTCTGGACCACCTGCTGTGAGGGCTGGTTTCCGCTGCTGCCCGGGCCTGCCTCAGACAGGCTGGGGAGCCCTGCCCTCCCGGGGCTGCAGGACCCCAAGGCCCCCATGACCCCCTCAGATCCTTGGCAGAGCGTTCATCTTGCTTTTCAGGGTAGTCACTGTGCTATTTAGGGGTCCGCACACCTCGTGGCTCCCCTTCCCTAAGTCAGCTCCAGCTGTTTCTGAACACCAAGTCAGCAGTGCATTCGTGGGCGCCTCTCGCAAGCCCTGTCTACCAGCTCTCGTCTGGGATGAGCACACCCCCACCTCATGCTGGTTCCGCTCCCGGTTCTCAGGAGTTCGCCAGGCCATGGTCCGCGTAGCTGTACTCTCTGAACCCAGGGGCACCCGCCGGAGGCCGCCTTCTCTCTCCCTCGAAGACCAGGCAGCACCTTCAGTCTCCTCGTGCCCTGCCGGGTTACTGGCTGTGCAGCCCCACACCTCCCTGGCCTGTGCAGTTCACCCAAGGGTCCCCCACGGCTGTGTTCCCTGATCCCGGGCCTCCACGCTGTGAGCCTCGCCCCTGGGACCCGGTACTAGCCAGGGCGGCACCGC